AAACTAACTGACAGGGTAACCAACAAAACATTTAGACAACTAAGTAAGATTTGAGGTTTTCACGGCGGTACAGCTCAGAAGACGGCCATCTTCGCTTCAATAACCGGCTGATTTACCAGTTGGGTAAGTCACAAAGTTGCGTTAACAACTGTTTTCGAAACATGAATGTTGTTCTCTTATGTGGGCTGTACATTTAAAATTCTGTGCGTCGTATTTTCGTATTCCGAGCATTGACGCTGTATGGACTTGCAGGTGGTGAACTACCAACGTTTGGGAGAAATCTACTGTTCAATTTTCGGCTCTGGACGTGGAAAACATTATATTTCTCCTCAACTTTGGTATCTATTTCAAATTTCTCATGGCGTCGCCACCCAGAAGACCAGTATCGGAATTTTCGGTACAGTGAGAACCTCGGGCTCAAAATTTCATATGCATTTCTTGTTTTTATAATCCAAACTATGATCCCAACCCATTTATTCAGTGTTTTCTTTCTGGATAAATTTTTTGTTTGTTTGTACAACATGTACAAATATTTTGATTGGGTGTCCAGACAGTTTTAAAGTCTGCATGACAGTGTTAATAATCTTGGAATTGTTAAATCGTTCCTGCTAACGAAACATAACATTTTGAAACGTGTTCGTGATACCGAAGGGAACATGACTGGCAGTTTGGGTACGAAGGTCTCTCAGTAGCAGCGATGATGTACTGCAAACTGATCATCAGGTCATTAATTAATTGTTCTCCCTTCTCCTCCCTGTACCGCAGCTTCCAACGGATTCAAAACTCAATCACCGTGATTCAATTTCTGACATTACCTCCCTTATTCTCCTCCTACGACCGCCAGCATCACCGCGAAATCCACCCCTAACCGCGTACAGCGGGTTATTAATATACCCATAGACTGCAAGAAAACTCGTGATGACGTCTCAATCCTCAGCGTGTGGTACAGTCTCTGCGACAAGCTAGTACCCCGATCTGCCATCGCGAAGATCGCGTGGAACTGCCGACATTACTGGTCTTTTCATAAGTCAGAGCGATCTCTGGTTGTGGCTGCCTCGAGAAAAATGTGAACACGAGCTGGTAAACCTTTGAAATCGCTAAGGCATGTCTTATGTAACGGATAGAGTCATTAAAAGCAAAACTAAGTCCGTTATATACACACACCCGCGTAGGTTCTCCTGGAAATAAGCCCCAATTGATAAGACGCCAAGGAATTATAGTCTGTCAGAGACTGAGACGAAGTGTACCCTCATCCCACGCACTTCCAAATCGACCTAATTCCGCGCCAGCCTCTCGACAAGTCTGCTGTCTTGTAAATCACGATCGCTTCTCCCGCAATTGCCAATTTCATGCTGGATATCATCTTTAAATTGTGACGTAGTTACAGGCCAACAGATGTGAAGGTTCAGAGAACCGTCCCATAAATTAACATCAGCTTCTCAGCTCCCGATCTCAGCGTTAAGTTACTCTGTGCACTTCGTTCTAATTTGACGGCTTATCTTACGAAGGCAAAAGAATGAATGGAATGTGCTCCAGTTTCAAACGCGTTCTTTATGATGAGACCTCTATCTCATGTCCCATGTCTATACTGTGTTGCCATTTCTCGCTTTGTATGAGTGTGAAACTTGGTTTACTACCAGAAGGCATGAACATAAGTTGGCGGAGATCAGGAAACCTGAGAAATTTGTGTAATAATGAGCTACATAATCTGTGATCGTCAAATCAAGGATGGTGCAACATGAATGAGAGAGATTCATTTTGAAAACTTCAAGGGAAAAGCAACGTGCTAGACCTAGACGAAGGAGGTAGAGTGAGTGTGGACTTTCGGGGGACTTTGGATATTGAACAGTCGCGGGATGTCGTAAAGACGGTTATGAACTTCAGGACTCCCTAAAATGGTAGGAGAATTTCGAAAAGCTGAGCTACTGTGAGTTTCCTAACGAAGTGCAAATCTCGTGTTGAAAGAGTTCATAAACGGCAGAGCTGCTGTATGTATAGACTGAAATATTTTGTTTACAGAGCTGATTTCTCCATCACATGTTACTCCGCGCATGCTCAAAATGGCATTTAGAGTGAGCCTTACCAGGAAATTGAGCAGTGTGACAGGTTTTCGTGGTTTTACTCATTATATTCAAGCGAAAGCCGGAATAGTACTGGAAGATCCCATCGCTTGGGTACAGACGACAGGTTTTGGTTTGGTCTGGACGCGGTGCAGAGTTTCCGTCCGGCCTTGCATGCGAGGTGAATGTAATTGGCATCGGCTTCCAATGCGTTCCTGAAAGACTGCGTGATCAATAGGAAATCCGTACAGTAATGAGTTATTAGCTAATGACAAGATGAGTTAGTAATCAAGTGACTAAAAGAGATACGTTGTTACTGATAGACGAAGATGTGTTTACCCGAGCCAGCGTCATTAGTAATTTGTATCGCAATCAGACCGATAATCTGCGCGGCCCCACGCGGTGTCTCGAAGGGCATCTGGCCGATGGTTACATAACTTTGTAACTGTGGGGGTGGGGGGTGGACTTGTACAGCCAAACTGTTTTAACACACGTGTAAGGTAAACAGCTAAAGGTGGATTTGTTTTACGTGCAAACACCGTTTGCAAGGGAACATATTAACCTCGGCACTCGGCAAATGATGGACATGCGATCGGATAAGGGATCTTGTCTGTTCCAAGATTGGTCTTCGGTCGGGATTCGAACCACGGACCTCAGAACGTAACCAGAAACAGTCACTTAGTTAGCACTGCAGCGTAAGACAAGGAACTGTATTTGTTTTTGCGAATTACGTAATTACTTAGCTTAATTACAGTGGCTTGCTTCCCTTCACGAAAGGAAAATTTTGTGAAAAACCATTTAAAAGTCTGGCTGAATTGGGACTGGCTAGTAGGAATCCGGAAGGAGATAAAAGTGGATCACTTTCTTAAAAGGGAAAAGAAAAGTAGAGATTAGGTTATTCCATTTCTTGAAGAAAGAGCTTTGATGGCTACGTTTTCGAATTACTAGGCTGATGAATATACGACGAAGTGGAACGCGCGGCTAGTGCCGTAGTCTCAGAGGTTTCCTTGTCTCTGCTGGCTTAAGATATTCCTTGCCGTGGACACAGTTGAATCAAGTCCACAGCCTCTTACCGTAAGGTCACTTTAACATTGTTCTCCCACCTGCATCTTGGACCCCGAGTTGTCTGTTATTCGGCAGGTGGATGAGAATCGTGTGTCAGTACGCCCTTAACATTCCCGTCGAGATATAACGGAATATGCTATCCAGCATGCAGATTCGCTTACGCTGAATTATTGGCATGCGCCCACTTCATGACGTCATAGCGGCTGTCCCATCAGAAGGGGGGGGGGCTGATGGACGAGGGTGCACGGTTCTGGTCCCAGGTGGTGCATGCCAGGCCTGGGGTCGCCAGGGAGATGGAATGACTCCGGTCCTCGCGCCGACGACTTAATTATGCATGGTAATTGGTTTGCGTTAAGTGGTGATGGGACACGGGATACCATGACGTGCGGCTGGCGTCCGAACGGCGTTCCCACAGTGACGTCCCGTCTTCTGACCCCAGTGCTGGAGCAGTGTTCGGCCATTTTACGAAGTTGTATCACGTGCTCGAGGTACTGTGATGTCTGCTCATCGCGGTAAGAATGACGGGAACTTTCACTTTCTTGAAAGTGACAAGGATAGCATTGTAGTCATGACTACGTTAATGATTAAATAATGAATTAATAAATATAAGTAATGAATAGCAAAATTGAAGCTTTCTGGGGAAATTTATCAACTAAAATTTTCTAGGGTGATGGGCAGCGACGTTGCTCAGCAGAAAGCCATCGTCTGTGGACATCGACTCTGATAATGGAGACAGAAATCGCCTCCTAAAAGTTTGTTTTGTGCCAGAAATTTGCGTGAATTATCATCGGAGACTTTTATTTCAAGTAGACGCAAAATCACGAAAATGTAAAACTTGTAGTCGCCGCTGCTAGACTACCTCAGAGCGCAGTGACAAATCTTCCGCTAAATTTCGTTTGTCAATTAATTAACCCATGAACCACACTTTAAGTTTACTACGCAAAGACTTTTAAATGTTTCTTTTGTTGTATCAAGAATGTTCTTGTCTGACCTCTTTAAGTTTGATGAATTGAATTTTAAGTTATAAATTTATGACGTAGGAGACGAAAGAAGCAGCGAGTGAATGAGAAGGAGAAACGTAGGTGGAGGAGGTGAGGGGAAGATGGAGTAATGAAATTCGTGTACTGTATGGCAATCGACGAAATTGCTAATCGATCCAGGGATAAAAACTTGTAGGTCTCTTTCCCGAAGCCTACCGTAAGGCTGGCCAAAGCTCACAGCTTGCGTGCGGATGCACTTGCATGTTGGCTACCCGTATGGCTCATCCTGCTAATGGCAGGTCCGGACCGCGAGCCCAGGGGTTCTAAAACGTCTGCTCAAGGAACTTGCCGCTCAAGGCACATTTGCTGACGACGGAATGTCAGAATCGGACCACATACATCTAGGAACGACAGGAACAAACCAGAATTTTGTCTCGCGAAGAAACTGAGAGAAAACTTCGTTCGCGTAATTACTGCATGAATTTAGAAATGTTCGTCTTCGCTTATAATAACTAGAAGTCTTAATATCAAAATACATAGGACTGTAAATCGACTAGGTCGTAATGTTGTGTGGACTTAGAGATGGATTCCAACGTTTCGGTGGAACATACTACCTACATCTTCAGGGCTCCGGAACGTTGGTATCCACCGACATACTCGCAGGACGTCACAACCCAGCAGACCAACATCGAGATAGTTCCAAGCCTCAGGGCTCGCTAAAAGGAAGAGAATTTCTTGACGAGCCGAGCGTCTGTCAGTTTTCTGAAGGATTTATGTAGTTCCTTGTGAGGCTAATTCTAAACTTATGATTTATTCTTAGTAACTATCTTGTCGCAGAAGTAACTAGGAGGAGACAATTACTGTCATGACTATTGAAAACCGGGATCTCTTTCAGGATCATCGAGAGCTTCCCGCTGGTTCAAGTCACCACTGTGTCTGAGGCTAAGCTACGAAGGCGTATGGGAGGAGTGAAGATAAACTCCATGTATTCCTGTTCTCGGCGCTGCATACCGGTAAGGGG